GCTCCCCAGATGTACAGAATTCATTCCTAGCAAGAGGAAAGGCGTCGCTGGAGCGTCTGTTGTGGTGTTTCCGAAGAGCTTTCCAGAGTCGACATATAGCAGGCCAAGGTCACACTCGCTGTAACAATAATAAACCTGCAGCTGGCTTTGTATCGAAGAAGTCTGGCGGTGAGAATATCTGTGCGTTAAGTGAGTGCAATGCTTTACGAAAATTGCCATTCGTGTTACATTTACAACTGTTTCGACAACCTTAGAGCGAAGTGTGAGCAAAGCACACATGGCGTTCAAATCACCCCTTTCCCCTTCGGTTTATGCAGACTGTGAAGTTTTACGCCTATGAAATAAGCTCCGGGGCATTCAGTATTATAGTGTAATTGGTGTCGAAATTCATAAATGTTTATGGAAATGAGCTGCCTGTGGAATTTGGTAATAAGAGTCGCCTCCTCCGTCATGGCCTGCATGCCCAGGACACGGCTGTGCTGCCAGCCCGCCGGCCTGCTGTTCTTGTGTGTTAGTGTGGGCGTCTTTATGGTGGTGAGAATATGGGAAAACCTTCTTCCGAATGCCCCCGCCCTCCCGCCCACGCCACTCAGCGCCAGCCCTCTCTACCCGTCCCGCCTCCCGCTCCTGGACCTGCAGGACTTCACCTACGTCATCAACAACGACGCGTGCGGCCGCGGTAGCGACGTGTTCGCCGTCGTCATCGTGCACACGCATCCTGCCAACCGGGAGGTGCGAGACATCATGCGCGCTCAGATCCCCCAGCAGGACCTGCAGGAGCTGGGCGTGCGGCGCGTGTTCCTGCTGGCGCGCGCCGAGTGGCACGACCAGAAGCTGTACCAGCAGACGCCGCAGTCCGACATCGACCGGGAGAACGTGCAGAACCAGGACATCGTGCAGGGCAACTTCAAGGAGCACTATCACAACCTGACGTACAAGCACGTGATGGGCCTGCAGTGGGTGACGCATTACTGCTCGCAGGCCAAGTACATCATCAAGATGGACGACGACATCGTGGTCGACCTGTACCAGTTCCGACACCTGCTAAGGAGCAGGTACTACGAGAGGACCAACCTGATCATGGGGCTGCTGCAGGTGGAGGCCCGGCCCGTGCGCAACAAGGAGAGCAAGTGGTACGTGAGCGAGGCAGAGTTCGCCGACGACTTCTACGCCCCCTTCATGTCGGGATGGGCGTACGCCATGACCCTCGACGCCGCCCGACGGATCGTGGCCGAGTCGTCCACGGTGCCCTACTTCTGGATCGACGACGTGCACGTAACGGGCACGCTGGCCGAGCGCACCGGCGTCAAGCGCGAGGGCCTCAACCGCTTCTACACGCTGCACGTCGACCACCTCTACTGCTGCATCGAACTGCCCGAGAGTGCCGAGTACCTGTGTGACTTCCTGGCGGGCCCCTCGGAGGGCGACACCACCGTCATGACCAAGGTGCTGGGCCACGCCAGGTTCTGCTACGTCAACACCTGCTACCGGAGGCCCCTGGACCACAGCGTGGCCAAGATGTGCGTGCGGACCAAGGTGCCCCCCCTGGCGCCGCTCGGGAAGGGGCGCGGCGAGATCGTCAGGTTGTCACGGTAACGGGAGGTCAAGCAGGCGCTCGGCGATGTTGCGGAGGCGAAAAGCTCCCTTGTGACTGTATCAAGTCTTTAAATAATGTAGGCCTTCAAGGGAATTCTCTCTCTCTCTCTCTCTCTCTCTCTCTCTCTCTCTCTCTCTCTCTCTCTCTCTCTCTCTCTCTCTCTCTCTCTCTCTCTCTCTCTCTCCCCCCCCTCCCTCCCTCCCTCTCTCCCTCTCTCCCCCTCTTTGCCTCTTTGCCTCTACCTCCCTTTACCTCCCTTCCCCTCCTCCTCCTCCTCTCCTACTCTTCCTCCTCTCTCCCTCCTCTCCCTACCTTCTTCCTTCTACTCTTCCTACCTCCCTCCTCCTCCTCTCCCTCCCTCTCCCTTCCTCTCCCTCTCTTCATTTTTCCCTCTTTTCCTCCCCGCCCTCAATCACTCCCCTCTTTCTTCTCTCTGGTTATCTGTCTCTTATCAGTCGCTCTTATTTTCTTTCTATCAGTTCCATTGTTCGTATTGTGTATATAGCTAAGGTAATGTTAACCACGTGATGTCTCCAGTGTTCACTTGCCAGTAACACTTTATACCTATAAAGGTAGTCGTTAAAGAAATGTATTTATATTGTTGTATGTGTAAAATGTATAGGTTTTTTATATTATTTTACTTTGTCGAATCAGATGTAAATATGTACATAGATTTAGCCTTAATATTCTAACAGTCATTATTTTTACCCAATAAAGAAGTGTCAAGTGCCATTATTATCAAAAGCATAATAAAATAATATCTGAAAGCTGATTTTTTATTTCACCATGCAGTGTATCTTAATCCTTTCCCGACGGGCTTGGCATTTACGTACATGCCATCCCCACTGTGAGTTTACTTGTTTAACCCATTGCCGATGGGGGGAATGAATAATAAATGAGGAA